TTGATATTTAATCTTCTTGAGACTTCTTGAGTCTTGAGTCTTCTTGAGTCTATTGATATTGAGTCTTCTGATGAGTCTGCTGATGTGTCTTCTTGGTCTTCTTGAGTCTTCTTGAGTCTTCTTAAGTCTTCCTGAGTCTTCTTGAGTCTTCTTGAGTCATCTTCTGATGAGTCTTCCACTGAGTCTTGATGAGTCTTCTTATGAGATACTGAGTCTTCGATTGAGTTGAGTTCCAACTTCTCAAGGCGTAACGCCCATCTCAAAACGTAGCGCCCAAAAAGCGTAGCGTCCATCCCGTGCTGCGGCCACGGGCGGATGTGGTGGAAGCCGTGCCGTCCGGGAAGGCGTCCCGGCTGCCGGTTCGGTGAGCTGGCGCCCGAGACTCTGGTACAGGACCGGCTACCCGCGGAGGTGGTGCTCCTCCACCCGTGGCGCCCGAGTCGGAGTCGGAGTCGGAGTCTTTTATTCGGACAGAGACGGACGTTTTGACAGTGCTGTTGTGACTCGATTATTTCCACACAACGCCCGCGGTTGCCGCGATGAAATGCAGAGAATTTGACGCGACGAGGGGAGCTTGAATCTTCAACATTGTGGAAAGTTCCACCCCTGAAGTCACAGCCACACAGTCAGGACCCTCGTGGAACCATGACACCCGTCGATACGCGTTAGGAGCGAGCGCCACGCGCGTGGAACGGAACGGTACCCCTGTACCTGAGCGCTGATGGGGCGAAACGCTGGAACGGAACTCTGGACGCTCCCGTTCCGTTCCGTGGCTTTCGGCACTGTTTGCCCGGTGGCGGTCGCCGCTGCTGCCTGGCTGTGGGGAAACTACGGGTGGGAATGACTTCATGATGTCACGAAGTCATTCCGAACGTGGGATGTCGGCCGCACTTCTCACCAAAACAAAACTCTGCTGACGCTTTGCGTGCCATGGATTTACCGAAAACGCAGTGTTAGTCCGCCATAAGTCGGGCAGTTTCTGCGTTGTATATGTTTTAATGTATGTGTTGTCCATGTTGCTCTGTCAGTATGCCTTATTCCTAACTGTTTCATCTAATAGTCTCGTACGATGATGAATTGCGACGGATACGGCGGTGCAAGGAATGAAAAGCGTTCCTTATGTTTGACGTCCGTCACTCCTGTAGCTGTCACCGTCATGACAGCTGGCGCTGGCTGGCTCAGGAAGGTATAACATCGACTGTATTCACTGATATCCCTGCACGACAGCCGTCCGGTAGTCGAATGAACGAGCGTAATTCGGGAATGCTTCATCTCATTTATGTGACTCTCGTTTTTTATGTGACTCTCGTTCATCTCGTTTTTAGTTACATGAATGGGACTTTGTCGAATATGATGGCTTCTGAATTGGATGCCGTCTGCATGCTCCTGTCATTCCTCTCCCTTCACCTCACTTTCATATGACAGATAGCAACTTCTCAGGTTTTAGTGTTCAAATTTCCTCTCGCTGTGTGACAGAAGCTCGTGGGCTCGAATCTCACCACCGGCCGCGTTTTTGTTCTGTTGACTGTAGCGTGCGGACGCCCGATAATCGCATTGTGGGCAGCCTTAACGGTCGGACTCGTTGCTACCTGTCGAATCATGACACGTGACTTGCCATCAGCCGAACCATGAAACCACCTGATGCAACCGAAGTAACCGCCGTCCATCTGTCCAAGAGCGATGGGCTGCTGCCAAATCACATTGGGATGACGTCGGCATCCTGTGTTGCGGCTCCGGGTTTGATAGCATTCGGCTCTTTAGCTGCAGTAAAAACGTTAGGTTTGCGACTTATCGTTGTCGAGCCGGGATTTCAAGGCGCGCTGGGCTAGCAACAGCGATGTGGAGATGTTCCGTTAAATATGTGGATGCTCTGCTTTGTTTAGATCGGTCTTTTGCGTGGGGAAAGGTTCAGCCATGTGTGATCGGCCTGTTGGAAGTTGAGATACTTAGCCACAAGTAGCTTTTCTGTTGTGGAGGTTGATCTGGTGCACGTGGACGTGTTGTGCGATGTGGAGACGTTCTGTTGTGGGGAGCGGTTCGTCGTTCATCTCAGTTCAATCACCAGCGGGGCGGCCTGGAATTCGTCCAGAGGCCAGCGCTGCTCTCCATCGCCTCGCACCTGGGAATGGCGGCCTAGTGAACCAGGGCCAGCAGCTTCCTGTCATTCATGCCGCCGCGGAGGGGCCGGATGCGGCGGCTCAGCGGGTCCGCTGACCCTGAGCGCTTCGTAAGCGGCTGGGAGGTCACGCGGCGGTCCGCACCTTTGTTGCACCGGCGGATCTGATTGGCTGGGGCGTGGCCTCATCGGACTGCCTGCAGAGGAAATGGGGTCGAGGCCGAAGATAGAGTGTGCACGCCATTGGGCTGCAATCAACGCATGTGTCGACGCATCTTTGTCCTCTCCTGAGATCGGGCCGCACACTTGTCCTATCCAGAGATCGGTCTGGACACTCGTCTTATCTTTAGATCGGGCCGACGCTCCTTCTGTCCAGAGATCGGGCCGCACAATCGTTTTATCTCTAGATCGGACCGCACACTCGTCTTATCCTTAGATCGGGCCGCACACTTGTCCTATCCAGAGATTGGGCCACACTTTCGTCCTATCCAGAGACCGGCCGCGCACTCGTCTTACTCAAGGCTGGGTTTACCTGCCGACGTTTAGGAGGACCGACGAAAAGGTAGTGAGCACGTGCGAGCTCCCAAAAACATTTTCCTCGCGCCTGAAGCCACACATAGCCTCCCGGAGCCGCTGGGATGCGGACTGAAGCGACGTGCAGGTGTCTCAGGAACTCAGGCTCACTTCTTCCTTTCTGCGACGCCATCTGAACAACCGATTTTTTGTCTGTAGTGGTCCAAGAATAGAGGAAAGAAGCCGTCTTCCAACAGGGTCCAGTGGACGAGCACTGCCCAGCGTGATCAAGTTTGGAGAAGAGCAATCAAACTGAATCAATCAAATTAAACAACAGCGACGTTTCACGGCGTCGGATGGCCAACGCCTCAGGCAGTCGAGGCTGGCCAGTGGCAGCCGGCCGCCGGTGCTGTGCGGCGCAGCATGCCTGGTGGGGAAGCGAACATCTCGTCCTCCGGCAAGATGCGCCGCTCGGTGCTGCTGTGCATATGCCGCACGCGGCATGCGTCTGACGGGTTTAAGTTAAGTTGCACTTTTAGCTTCTAAACGGGCGCAACAGTTGTGATTCACTGAGACATCATCCCCGCACCATGTGCATGTAGGCCTTTGGAGTCGGTGGTGTTGTGTTGTGTCCCGGGTCACTGTAAGATATTTGCGTTGGTGGTGTGTCGTGTCCATGTCGCTGTAAGACATGCACGTTGGTGATGTGTCGTGTCTCGGGTCGCCGTAAAACACGTGCGTTGGTGATGTGTCGTGTTCCGGGTCGCCGACATGTGCGTTGGTGATGTGTCGTGCCCCGGATCACTGTAAAACATGTGCGTTGCTGATGTGCCGTGTCCCGGGTCGCTGTAAGACATGTGTGTTGGTGATGTGCCGTGTCCCGGGTCGCTGTAAGACATGTGTGTTGGTGATGTGTCGTGTCCCGGGTCGCTGTAAGACATGTGTGTTGGTGATGTGTCGTGTTTCGGGTCGCTGTAAGACATGTGCGTCTGAATATGGCGCATGCTCGCCCTGTGCCATACGGATGTCCCACTTGTGAAGAATTACACCTTGCTATGAACTCGTTGTGAGCGCAGAGCTAGCAACGGAAGCCGTGTTGAGATGAATCCGCAAGCCCGCGCCAGAATTCGGGTCACTGGCCCACTTAAATGCGCATGAAACATCCCAAGTTCTGCACACGACGTCCTGCCCACTCCCCTCCCCCTTCATCTCCGGAAGTGCGCGTTTGACCTCAGCTTGAGGAGATAATAAATGTGTCGCAGCATCCGCACGCTGCCCAGGCGGCAGGCTCACAAACTAAGACATTTCTGTGATTCTGACATCACAGTACGCATGGCGTCTGCCACGGCTGCAAAGGCGAGGAGCGATGTTAAACGCAATGCTAACCAACAGGGCTGCATTCTAGGCCACCCTCTCTTAGGCCTGGATTTTGTCGTATGCTGCCATATAAGGCAAACCGACGGGATAGCTCACAGCCGTTGTAGGCCTCGGGCTCATGCGATGGTTAAATTACAGCTATGCTGAGGAAGTTAGCTTCACGCACGCTCGGGTGGGGTTTGACCCCACCCAAAGGTTTTTACAGAATAGTTTCCAAACAGACGGACATAATCGCGCCAAACTTTGTTCAACTGTGGGCAGGTTTATGACAAATCCTTTGGTATACAAATCAGGTGTACATTGTTAGGTCCCCGACCTATGGCAGATCTAAGTCAGGCTATGGCTGTCAGGGAAGTCAGTGTCTAGGGAATCGTTTAATTTGACGCAACGAGTGAGTGGCAGATGAAACATACAGGTCTGAGATAGTTTCGTTTGCAATAAAGCAATTGCATCGAATATTACAACAAATTCCATTGACCTAGGGTAACTTATGAAGTTCAGACTGATGTCGAAACCAATATGATTTTTGTTCGAGAACTTGCTGTATATGGCAGTTAATGGTACCTATTTCGAAGTAAGTAACAACAGGGGCCGCAGCAAACATATTCCAGTACGCCATTGACCTAAGATGACTCGCGTCGGTATTTTGTTTTTAGAAACAAAAACGCACCGCCAAACGCCAAACGTAATTCTTGAGGCTTATTCCAATGCAAAAATTAAAGCAATCTTGTGGGATTCTGGTCACCATGACCTTATAAAGCTCAAACAAAGTCACTGTCATTTAACGAACACTGGTAACTTTTTGCTTAGGACAGACATCTAGGTTCAAGACAGTTGTATGAGGAGGTATGGGGGACCCTGGACACCAACCTTGATTTTGACATTTTTTACCGTAGTTGACCCGAAAGTAATGAAATAAGAGCCAACATTTTTGACACAAGCGAGTTCACACGAGGCCAGCCCACTCTGTGAATTTGGTGTCTCCAGCTCCCTGAATTGATGTCAAGGGGTTGAAATTGACCCTCGCCCCACCCGGGCGAAGGCTATTCAGCCTAATGGGCTATGCCCCTGAAACCCTTTACGACGGTACCTTCGGCATGCATGTAACCAATTCCTTACCGTGTCATTGACGATGCCGATGCCGCTGCCCTGCAGGAGCTGATGACGGCCGGGACAGCATCCTCTTCATCTGGCCGTTGAGCATCATCCACACGATCGACGAGCGTTCTCCGCTCTACCACATGTCGGCTGAGGACCTGCTGCACAAGGAGCGCTTCGAGATCGTGGTCATGCTGGAGGGCAGCACGGAGTCGACGGCCATGGCCACCCAGGCGCGCAGCAGCTACATTCCCAGCGAGATCCTCTGGGGACACAGGTGAGGACACAGCAGCTGTTCCCAATGAGATCCTCTGGGGACACAGGTGAAGACACAGCAGCTGTCCCCAATGAGATCCTCTGGGGACACAGGTGAGGATACGGCAGCTACCGCTAGTGAGACCCTCTGGGAACACAAGTGAGGACACAGCAGCTGTCCCCAGCGAGATTCTCCGGGGACACAAGTAAGGGTGCAGCAGCTGTCCCCAACGAGATCCTCTGGGGACACAGGTGAGGACACAGCAGTTGTTCCCAACGAGATCCTCTGGGGACACAGGTGAGGACACAGCAGCTGTCCCCAACGAGATCTTCTGGGGACACGGGTGAGGACACAGCAGCTGTCCCCAGTGAGGTCCTCTGGGGTCACAGGTAAGGACACAGCAGCTGTCCCCAACGAGATCTTCTGGGGACACAGGTGAGGACACAGCAGCTGTCCCCAGTGAGGTCCTCTGGGGTCACAGGTAAGGACACAGCAGCTGTCCCCAACGAGATCTTCTGGGGACACAGGTGAGGACACAGCAGCTGTCCCCAGTGAGGTCCACTGGGGTCACAGGTAAGGACACAGCAGCTGTCCCCAACGAGATCCTCTGGGGACACAGGTGAGGACACGGCAGCTGTTTTCCAGGGAGGTACGCGAGAGACACAGGTGAGAGTGAAGCAGCTACGTCCTGAACGGGACCTTCTGCCGACGCAGGCTGGTACATCCCATGGAGGTCCTTGAGGTCAGACGGGAGGGAGGGTGCAGTAGCAGTATCCCCACATGCCTTCCGTAGAAACTCATGTGGAATGCATTTATTCATTCCGCAATGGAAACTACAAGTAGGGTAGAAGCCCTATTCCATTCTCGTTTTAAGATGCTTTTATGATGACAACTTGGCCGTAGCGCATGGTTTACATGAGTATGGAAGATGGTTCAACAACGAATCGTCTGGAGACAGATGCAAGGGGTATGTACCGGTCTCTTGTTTGAAACGCCTCTTTTCCAATCCCGTCGCTTTACATCTCAATGGTCTGATCGCGACAACGGCTCGAACGCTCGCGAGCTCGCCGGCCAGCGGCTCGAGTAAGCAAATGACACCTTTAAAAGATTGCGATGTGTTTGACCTATGCCTTTTGCGGTAGGTTCGAACCCATCATCAACTTCAAGAAGGAGACTGGCGAGTACTGGGTGGACTACAGCAAGTTCAACAGCACGTACGAGGTGGACACGCCGCTGTGCAGCGCCGTGGAGCTGGACCAGTTCCGCAAGATCCAGACCGAGAGTGTACAAAGTAAGCAGGGAACGCGAAATGGACGGCGGCTTTGGAAGCAGCCTGGCAGAGTTCTGCCGTCCAAAGTTAAAACCCCATATGTTCACTTCTGGTCATTTTGCGTTTTTACGTCATCTGATTCGTCTACTCATGCTGAATTCGGGTATTTAAACCGTTGGTTGAAATTTTCACAACTGATTGGCTAAAACAAAGCCTGTAACATCTTCAACTGATTACTTACAAAGCCGAATTCAGGATGAGTAGATGAATCAGATCACACGAGCAACGCAAACCGGCCAACAATTAGCATATGGGGTTTTACCTTTACACGGCAGAGTTCGGAGCGCGTGAGCAGCGTAGGATGGTAAAGAGCACATAACAAGAGCATGGTAGTACGCGGCGCAGACTGGAGGGAGCCGACAACACACAATAACACGCTGTTTCATCTCGGACCATGTGCATAACACTACTGATTTTGACGGTTAGTGAGCGATGTGACTAAAGAGCCGGCACTTTACATCCCGCGCGATAAAGTGCCGGCTCTTTAGTCACATCGCTCACCAACCGTCAAAATCAGTGATGTTATGCACATGGTCCGAGATGAAACAGCGTGTTAATGAGTCGCACTGCGTACACTATTACAGAGAAAAAACGCACTATTTTAGCGCACTATTTCCGAGCAAAAGCCGAGCTGATGACCACGGCATTTGTCGTTCCTTGCCGCAGCTCGAGCTCGAGCATAGTGTCGCCAGACAATCACGTGCGGTTGTTCAGATGAAAGCCTCTTGCTCAATGCACACCAACCACAGAGAACGGAAACAGGGATCCCGGCCGGGGCGTCTGTTCTGTGTTGTATATTTACGGTACTTCTGAGGGCTCCGGCCGCCGGCGCTGTCTGTGGCGCCGGTCGTGATCCGCCCCCTCCCCTGTCTGTCTGCCTGTCTGCGTGCAAGGTGTTCTGTGTGTCTGCCTGTGCTTGGCTGCTCCGTAGACTCTGTGTGCTCACCGCTCTGGTCGGCCTGTCCCATGCAGACTGCAGAGCTGTTACGCAAATGAAGGCTCTCTCACCACCGTCGTGACCTGTGTCGACACCGTGCGCATGTTCTCCGCTGCTGGTTGGGGGGGGGGGGGGGGAGGGGAGGGACGGGAGGGACTGGGTGGTTCCGGGAACGGATCACACTTGAGATGTGCCGGCTCGTGTGAGTGGCGGCAGCAGGCGGCCGCGTGCGGGAATGGAGTCAAAACTGCTCGCTGAGATGTTTGGGCGGGCACTTGTTTTTAAGCCATGAATGAAGTTTTTTCAGTAGAAGTAATGACGTGTATCTTTTTGAAGCATAAGTTTTGTCGCTTAGCACTAAATGTCGTCAAAAGTAATTGCAGCAGACTTAATGTATTACAGTACTAGCTGTATGGGTTTTTGCATTACAAGTAATGACAGGTATAACTTTTTGAAGCATGAGTTTTGTTTCGTAGCATTAATGTCGTGTATAACTCCTGACAGAGGAGAAATGTCCCGTATAAGTAAGGGCAATAAGTTTTTGCAGTGAGTGTAATGAAAGGCACAAGTTTTTGAAGTAAAGGCTTCGTTGCGTAACACTAATCTCGCGTATAAAGTATTGACAGTCGAAATAATGCGGTAGATGCGTAAAATCTGTGAAAGTTTTTTGAGGTAGACGTAATTTGGTGTAGAACCCATGTTGCGTAGAACTAATGTCGGAACACACCTCTCGGCATAACTTGTTGCCGTAGCACTCATGTCATTGCACTCCTGTCAATAGATTTTTTTGCTGTGTCACTGATGTCGTAGCTTTCCTGTTGCTCTACGTTTGCCAGTAGCATCATTGCCGTGACACAGTTGTCAATAACTTTGCTCACGTGACGCGCCAAAGTTGACCTTTGGCCTGCGGGTGGGAGGTTTCCCATGTGTGCTCCGCACGTGTTGTCAGCTTTTCTTGGAGTAGAATGGCGTCAAGGCAACTTTGCCACACCGTTCGCAGCTAAAAAAAAGCCGGACAGTGGGCATGACTCGGCCACGATGACACAGTCGACCCCTCTGATGACTGATGACCGCTGACCAGTGCGATGACTGGTGACTCGCGTGTCCTGCTCGACGATTTCGCTGGGCTGTCTGCTGGGACACAGCTCTGGGCTGGTGACCGGAACGAGCGGCCAGCCCCGCGCGCCGCGCTGCAGCTGTGCGACGCACGGTCGCGCTCGGTGCCGTTGAGGCCCTATGGACGCATGAGTGGTGCGTGCGCCGATCCCAGCTGTGTGGCGCACGGTCACGCTCGGTCTGACATCACCCGCCCTGCCGCACGCATGTTGCCCAACGCTGGGGCGGCGTGGCCGTGGTCCATGTCGTGGAGGTAGCTCGGTATGTCTCCGGGAAGACTTTGCCCCCTGTGTTCCCCTCTTCCCCTAGTGATGAAGCCAACATTGAGTTTTAAAGGTTGAGTACCAAATATTGTATCGATTGCCCGAAAGTCAAGGCTAACAGAGAACAATTCCGCCTCCTTCGTTGTTCGGGCAGGCAGCCATTGGGTGTACCCAAGGGAAGGGACTTTTGGGGCCATGTTCTCCCCTGACCCAGCCTATGCGTGGTGTGGGACCCTCTGTAGGCAAGGTCCCAGTATTTATTGGCATTTTAAGACGCCCGTAGGACTTCTAAGACATTAAAAAACGGATCCCTGGGTATGAGAATGGGATTCCCAACCTATAACGACCCTTAAACTAAAAAAAAAACAGGGTCATAATGGTGACGAAGTGGCACTCCTAGGTTATTGTTATTTGGGCTTAGGGCGCGCTAACATCGGCGGTCATTGTGCGCCCAGTCCTCTAGGTTAAAAGGGTCCCCATGTTTTGTAGCGTAAATTAAGAGGGCTCCATCATGTTTGGCAACGGGCCTAAAGGGCTCCATGATGATTTGTCTTTTAATTGCAACTTTAATCTGTCATTGCAATTTATGACACTCGAAAACGATCGATACTGCGCTCCGACTCCGCCCCGCCCCGTCTCGGCCAGGAGGGCTCCGGTGGCGGAGGTGCCACGGGACGTAATGGCACGTGCAAGTGTACAGTAGTCGGCACCTGTGCCTCTAATGGGAGCGGAAGAGGCGATTAGGAACAGGAACAGCAGGGGGTGGGTGCGAGGCGGACACATGTTTGTCGTAAAGGGTTGAGCGCTTGTCGAACGCCAGCTGTGCGTTGTGAACCTAGCACTGCTCGGTCCTACAACTAACAAAAACAAAGCCCTCCTACGTAAATTGGTAGTGGTGTACTTTAGACGGCTTCAAGGAGGATTCGTGACCATTTTGTTGGTCCTTTGCGTTCTGTCGGTCCCACAGATTGTATCGCAGTTCAAATATCATGCGAAATTCATTTGTGCACAAAAAATACTTCCAAGAAATTTGATCGCATGAGGTGATAAAACGATTTGCGGTAGCTATAAGCCAGCAGTGCACTTTTCAGGACGGACATGGGACGAAGCGCTAACATGTGATGACGTTTTCCGGTGACAAAGCAGTGCGGTGGGGATCAGGGGTGTAGTTTTCTACTTAGTTGGAGGACATTTTGGGAAGGAAGAGAATAGAATCCGGAGAAAACCTGTTTGTTAGCATATTTTGGGGACAGGACAGGACAGGACAGGACAGGACAGGACAGGGGACAGAACAGGCATTTCCCTGGTGGTAATGCAGCGCTATATCATGGATCTCATGGGGCGCTGGCAAACATCCCGCTTGTCTTGTTATAGCAATGTCGTAGTAATTACCTGATGTAAAAAAACCTGCAAGAAAATGCTGCAAGAACCAAGTCTACGACGCCTTTTCATGTTCGCACGCATGCCAGTATGCAATCGTTCCTTGCAGGTTCGCGAATGGGCACGCCGCCCCAAGTGACATCTGGCGGTGGCCTCAACAACTTCGACTTGCTACGGCACCAGGGAGAGCAGACTGGCAAGGACCAATAGCAGTCGGCCACGGCCGGTGAGTCATCCTAGCAACACATTTGTCAGATCAGACTGACGAAAGTGTTTTATTTTTGAATGCAGAGCTGCGTAGTAGCTTTGAACGTGAAGAGTTGATGAGTCTTGAAGACGGAAATTTTCGAAAACACCCGGAATTCTCCCAGCACTGGGTGACAGCCGGATTGCGGAGGGCCAATAGTAGGTCATGGAGTACATCAGTGGCACGCCATGTGGCAAACGCGGCTTGCAAATCGGCCCGTGAACTGGCTATCCATGCAATTGCCGCACGTACCGTGTGACTCACATTGTTTGTTTCATGTGATGTACTGCTTTGCAGTTCCACGCGACGTACAACTACAACCTCATGTGAGGCATAATTGCAGTCCCGTGTCACATGCAGCAGCAGTCCCTTGTAACGACAGCTGCAGTCCCATGTAGCGCATAGCTGTGAACTCATGTGACGTTGACTGCGGTCCCATGGGAGTGGCATTACTGTGGCATTACTGTCTCACGTGGTGTCGTGTATCCCAGTTCATCATTGGGAGCCGGGACGTGCGACTGTACGACTGCACTGCACTGTCGCAGTCCCACCGCGTGTGCAAACAACAGAACCGTGTCGCGCACAGCTGCAGACCCGTGTGACCCGTATGACCCGTATGACCTATAACCGCGGTCCCATGTGATGGAAGACTGCGTTCTTTTATGATAAAGTATGACGCAGTCCCACGTGACATGCAACCGCAATCTTGAGTGGCGTGTAGCCTGGCATGCGGCCGCTGCGTCATCTGGCTGTTAGCTGCGCCTCTCTGGCGCGTCCAGCTGCGGTCTGGTGTGACGTGTGCAGCAGTGGCGGTCTCGTGTGACGTGTGCAGCGCGATTCAAGAAGCCGTCCATGAGCAGGCAACCGCATTCTGTTTACACGCGCTGCTCCCTGAATACGCGACGACCCGTTCGCCGTAGTCGGTGTATGTATTGGTTCGTATACCCCGTGCGGCCCGTGTCGGCAAATGCCACGTCCGCTATCTCGCGACCGAACTAGTTTCGCATGGTCGGAGTGTTTTTACTTCCGCGCCGTAATTTTCGACGATTCTGAGGCACGCGTCTTGAGAGATTTGCCGCTCTTGTTTTTCGACTATCCGAACAAGCACAGGTCGTGTTGTCCGGGCACTGCCGCGCGCTCCCGAGCGGCCGTCGTGCCGCGAGACGCCTCTCAGGCGTCCTCTGGCCCCGGCTCAGCCGGCCAGGCCCGGCGTTCTCGGCGGTCGGCTTCTCACTGCACCGTTAGCCTGCACGACCGGCGGAGCAGGGGAGGGGAGGCGCGCGCCGCAGAGCCAAGTGGGCCGCCGGCCGGCGCTGACGGCCGCAACAGCGCTGCTTCACCCGACACGAGCACCACATGCCTGGGACCTGGGAGCGGGGGTGGGTTGCCTGGCCGCACGCCGCGGGCCTGAGAGCAGTGCTGGGACGCCTGGCTGCACACTCCGGACCTGGGAGCGAGGGTGGGGTGCCTGGCCGTACGCCCCGGACCTGGGAGCGAGGGTGGGGTGCCTGGCCGTACGCCCCGAGCTTGGGAGCGGTGCTGGGACGTCAGGCCGCACGCCCTGGGCCTGGGAGCGGATGTTGGGTGCCTGGCTACACGCCCCGGGCCCGGGAGCGGGGGTGGTATGCCTGGCCGCACTGTTGGAATGAACGGGAACAAAAATGATGGGATGGGATGGTTTTTGGTCCTTGCAGTTTGCCGGCCAGCTTTGCAAAGAGATAGCGTGCTGCTGTCGACTTATGCTGGCTTGCCACACCCATAATTAATTAATTAGGTTCGTCGGATGTGTGTTACAGGGTATGGACAACAGGGAGGAACACCATGTCGACACGCACGACACACACACGGCACAGACGCGGCATAGGCGCATAGGCATGACCGCACTATAGACTTCCTAACTGCTGTCCTGCTATCACCTGTGAGGGTCTTTGTGGGAATTTCGAGCTGTCTCGAAGTTGACCCCGTCCCCGCCTGGGTGAACGGCGAGGCCTCGAGCGCGCTGACCCCGCCCCCGCCCGGGCCAAAGACGAGTCCACGAGCGCGCCGAGCCCACCCCCGCCTGGGTCAACGGCGGGTTCACGAGCGCGCCGAGCCCGCCCCCCGCCTGTATCAACAGCGAGTCCACGAGCGCGCCGGGCCCGCCGCCACCGGTGCCAAATTTCCCCGTTGCGGGCTACCAAACCGCAACGGGCCACAGCTGCCAACTGGACCGCGGCATGGCGGCACAAGCACAGCGCACGTCGCTGCAATGTGGCGCACGCGTGCAGTGTGGTGTGCAATGTGGCGCACGTTTGCCGCGCGGCGACCTTGGCTTCGTTTTGAGGCTCGGGCGGGTCACACCAGAAGCGACAGGCTGGGCGAGGACAGGAGGACAGGAGGACATGAGGACATGAGGACATGAAAACATCTCGGAAATCGGAACCGCGTCAGGGTCGGCGATGTGAACTCTGCAGCCTCCCCCCCCCCCCCCACTCGACAAGTATCTGAGTGAGTCGGAGAGACCTTCGTAATTGGGTTTGACCCTCGGACAAGGCGACCGCTACCATTTTTGGCATAGCCCGCGACGTTATCATGGCGTGCACCAACTGGTAAACCGGTCATCGAAATACAAACAGCAACAGCCCCAAACGCATATCACCTCCATCTGCCTGGACAAAGTCGGTGGCGTGACTCCGTATCAGATGCGCGGCACAAGCTTTCCCAGGTTTGCGTGTCCGAGCTCACTGAGGCGTGGCTGCACGCGGCGCGTGCAGTCACGTGGTTGGTGCGCACGGGCGCAATGTGCGTGCGCTTGCAAACTGTGGCATGGGTGGAACACGCCGCGACTCACCGACCCTTGCCGGAAAAAAGGTGGGAAGAGATGGTGCAGGTCAGTGGCGTGACCAGGAGGCGGGACTTTTGGATTTACGCTGCCCCAATCCTCCCTGAAGGTAGCGTCCCCCAGCCCCTGTGGACGAAGTCCCCGGTACGTTTGCAGTTTAAGATATCCGCAGGGCTCCAAAAAACATCAAAAACGGGCCCCCGAGGCATCCAAATGCCATATCGAGCCAGAACACACTTCCTGAATACAAATCAGAGCCGTTACAGCGACGAAGAGTCCATGGGTCGCAGAATGCACCCGATGCAACCCTCTCGTTACGCTGCAGACAGGGATTGCTCACGGCATACCCATACCCACGGCATTGGCCCATGCTGTCGTACGCCAAAATACGTAGGTAAAATGAGGGGAAAATACAGGCTTATGACTAGAACCTTGTTGAGAAATATGAAAAATGGGTTTTTAAAGAGATTGTTTTCGGCATTGTTTTCGGCCATTCCGACGACCATTGGCTGCGAACGGTTGCGAATGGCTGCAAATGGCTGCGAACGGTTGCGAATGGCTGCGAATGGCTGCGAGATGTTCCGGCGTTGGGGACCAGGTCTCCGCAGTCTGCACATTGGTGTACCGTGAAGTGCCGTCGGCGGCGTGTGTTCAAGTGGGTCCACAAACGTGTGTTATCGAGGCACTCCACTCGAGCAGCGCCGACTGCCTACCGTGTCCCCACTGTTACCGAGGGTATTGCGCGTTGGCCACGCAATTGGGTCAGCTTGCCTTATAAACTATCGGGCTTTACGATCTTGCAATCTCGCATGTCGATAACTTCGCTTTAACAAATGCGGTTCCGTTTGCTGACCTATTACCATGTTATGTCTGGACCAGTCCTATTATTGCCTAACTCAATCTCATTCCCAATATATATATATATATATATATATATCCAACGTTTATGCACGTGGACTATTCGGCATGTTCTGTCTGTGCAATTTCATGCGCTTAAGACCTTTTTATTTAGAAGCTTCGTACAACGTTATAAGCTGACGCGAAGCAGGATACCGCTCACAGTATTCAAATGCCGGTTATCAGTGCGATGAATGGAAATCTTATTTGCCTTTAAGTCAATTGCAAGCTAGCTGCCAGCTGAAAGGCAACCCGTCGTTCCCTTTGCATTGATATGAATATAAAACAATTGTTTTCCCGCAGTTGTAGTACATCGGTATTTTTGCTTCGATGGTAACCTGATAATACTTATCATTCAACCTGAAATTTTGTAAGATCCTGTCTAGCATGCAGCATCTTTCCCTCATCTCACCCAGTGTCTAGTGTCTAGCATCTCGTCTGCTCGTCTCGGCAGGCGTCGTTGCACGCCTGATTGTACGAACCGGTGAGCTCGTGGAAATGGTCTGGAATAACACTGACTCAGTAAGATGAGCTACGATCAATTTGTAAAGGTCTTAGTGCAAACGAAAGGAACCGACTCGTATCACTTCATATTTTGAGGGCTTCCAAGACTATAGCGTGGCCAGACATCTATCAGGGGAAAAAAGTGGTGACAAATGATGGCAAAGGCTTTACGTTTACATTTAGGCTTGCCTGAACAGTAAACGCACCGGATGTCGCGTTGCGGGATTAAATAGTACAAGTGCGTTTGTGCAGGTGACTCGGCAGTGTTAGAATGGCGGCCGTTGTTGCGATATGTGGAGCCGCGATCTAGCCTCTGCCGCTCCCCAGCCGGTGCTCCCCGTCCGAGAAGCAGCGAGGTGGCCTCTGCCGTTCCCCAGCCCGCGTCTCCCCCGCTTGGCAGCAAGATAGCCTCTGCCGCTCCACAGCCCGCGTCTCCCCCGCGCCCCCTGCTGCTTTCCGCCCGGGGCGGCGGCACTCTCCCCGCCCGACTGGGCGCTGAGGACGGACTGCGGTCACGCCTGCTGACGCTGCCAGGGCGGCGCGTTCCCGGGGCCGCGGAAGGGGTGCCCCCGCGACCCTCAGGCGGGACGGTCACGCCCTCCCGCGTGACTCTGTGGTGATCGTGGCGACCGCAGTATCTGACACGGAACGACGTGTTTGTTGTGCAACGCCCTAGACACGAGCTGAAACCAAGCCTGCCAACAAGTCAAGAGCTAAAACAGATTGAGGCAAGCATTCCGAACTAAAGAGCTGGCACCAGCACGGGTGTTGCGTAAGATCTGCAAAAGATTTATGCGAGCGGACTCTGACATGCGTGCTCGCCACCTTGGGATCCCACCGAACCGGATAAGATCATGTGACATATATCCCACTATTGTACTCCTTTGATCCTCTTACATTGCGTGATCCTGTGGCGCATCGCTGTTTTTCGTCGTCTTTATGGGTTTGATAAGCCGGAACCTCAACATATACAGCGTGCGCCCGGAATGTTAGCCATTACAGCTGAATGGTCACTGCTGCTGCGCGTTCCATTGCGAGTTCGTCGACCCAGGAACGAGCAAAACGTGCAGCAACGGGCACGCCTGGCCGTGTCACGGACGTCATCAAATGAACATGCCTCTGCTGTACCGACAGTGTATGTTTTCGTTCTGCATCCCTTGCTGCTGCCCGTGCGTCTGCGGGGGCGCTCTGGCCCGCTTTACCAGGGTTGTTGTCATTACAGCGACTGTTGCTCTCGTTACAGCTGTGCGTGTGGGAGCAGATGGACCATTTGCAGTCTTCCGAAGGCTGGTGACACCAGCAATGCCGGTTGACACCGCCAGGGGCGCCACAAGCGGTCGCAGCGAGACGCTCTCTCACCTCGCCCGCGGCGCCTCCTCGACGCTAGTGCCATCTATAACTAATCCGCCGCGCAGTGCACGCCTCGCTGTGTGGCGAAGCCGGCTCGGACCTCGCGTAGCGCCGCGCGGGCCTCGCCTTCAGCGCCTGGGCACGCCGTTGCTCGGGCGACGCCGTCTGCCCGTCCCGCTAGAGGGCCAGAGAGCGCGACAGACCATCCGTCCCGCCAGCCGTAGACAGGCCGCCGTAAGGTTCGCAGCCATTCTCGCTCACCTGGCGTGAGCGGTGGCCCGCTCGGCGCGCGCTTGGAAACGCCTCGGGCGCCGCTGTCGCCAGGTGTTCTCCACAGCAGCGTGGTCAGTGCCTGTGACGGCTCCAGGCGCGAGGCGCGCCGCTTTCTGGCGGAGCGGTGCTGAGGTGATTCCCAGAGCCACCTGCTCTCACTGGCACCGGAGGGTACGCCGCTGCCGGCTGCGTCAGCCGGTGCTCGGCGGGTCGGGACGCCCACCCCTGCGCGCGGGTGACCGGAGCTACCCCGACAGTCAAGAGTCGAGCGCTCGCTCGGCACGCACGAGAGTCGGGAGTCGAGTGAGTCGCGGCGATCTGGTCCCGAGACTCGCTGCCGGTCCCGACGTCGCCGGCGCGCGTGTGCGCGCGAGCCTTGGTGTGGGGCGTGGAGCGCGGAGTGGGCCGGTGGAGCCCCTTAACAGACACTAGTGCAGTGCAAATGAAGCGGACGGATTCGGCTGGATGGCCGACAGAGCGACATCCACAGGCGCAAAACGGGACGAAGCTGCTGCCTTCTATCTCAGAGAACGACGTTAGTGTGTAACATTTTAGTTCGATTAACTCTCCATCTGGAGATTTTATATCGCTGTACGGTGTCATGCATAGCCCACCGCATATTGCGTGCACCATCCCGTGGTGACGTCACGTGACGTCTCCGCAGCCAATAGGCACGCCGGACGCAGTCTGATTCCGCTGATGAATGTACGCGTCGGCCTATTGGTTCCGACTTTGCACAGACAGCATGCTTTGACTGGTAAGTTATTACTCGTTTGTGACTCGTAAGGCCGTGAGTGCCGTATTAGACGAAACGATCGCCTTATCGGCGTGGATTGTACGGTCTTTCATACAGTGCCTCGGGTGGAGATAGCGACCTTATCAGCAGCTCTGCTTCGTTCAAGTGCGCATGCCGCGTTCGCTGAGAGGGAGACAAGTTGTCTGTTTGTCTTAGCGCGGCAGAAGGGCCGCATGCTGCAGAGCAGAACCCCTGCGTTAGTGTCATAACCAAAGCCCGAGTGGCAGTGCCTTCGAATAAAGTTACACAATTTTTCCCGCTGTTGGTGCCGAAGTCGCGTGGAGAGGGCTCAAGGCGCTGCAACGTCAGGGTTGTCCAAAGGGCGAGGTCCGCGCAGAAGCATACCGAGAACAAGAACACCGGACCCTTTCACGCGTACGCCACACCACGGGAGCATTAGGCATCGCCTCACGACGGGAGAGCTTCTGAGGGGGTTCAAGACATTTTCCGGAATATCTTCTGAACGGTCAACCGGCCGCCCCGTCAGTCGGAGCACTGCCTTTTAGGGTCCCTGAGTATGCATTTTTAAAACAAATCAGGTGTCAATGAGAAGTTTGTGACCCAGGTATTTCATAACCTGTGACTTGCTCCTCGAGGAAATGTCGGTGACATTTAATTCAAAAGAGACATACACTGCTTGTTTCTCGCAGGAACTGCGCCCAGGGTGCTTTTCCTAATATAAAAATAAAACATGTCGCTTTTATTCCAGGTTTTCTTGAGCCAACTTCTTATCTATGTATATCACTAAAAATCAATCAATACTTATATATCAAACCGTATAACTCAATCCAGCCGTCATGGGACGCGTTCACCTCGCTCGTACGGCGACATATCCACAACAAAACACTTCAACAGGGCCACGCAGCATCAGCCCACGCACGAATTCGCCTATCTTGCTGGTGGACCTGCTGCCCGGCCCGGAGTGCGTGACTCTGTAATGACGCGACGGACCCACCACGTGGGAAAGGGTGCCAAAAGCACAGCACACACGCCGATGTCCCAACGACGCGCGTTCACAGTCAACGGGACGTCAGGGCGCCGAGATAACGCGCCGCGCGAGACCGGAGACCTCGCTCGTCCACAGCCTCACGTGACGTCCGTGCACTTGGAGCCCCGACTGGGGTCAGGTCAGGCACACGACATGCCAGCTGGGGGCCGGACCTGAGGTCACCTGCATACACTCGAGCGTGATCAGCCACCGCCCCCCCCCCCCCCCCGCCCCTCCGGTCAGCTGTGCAGCCGCTGAGGTGTCGGTCTTGGCGCATCATCTCGCCGGGCTCAGTGGGCCGGCTCCTGACGGGCAGCCCCCGACTCCGGATCATGAGACGCCCGCGGACGGCTCCCGCCGGCTGGGTTCAGGTCAGCCGAGGTCAGGTCAGCCGAGGTCAGACCAGCCGAGGTCAGACCAGCCGAAATCAGGTCAGCTGAGGTCAGGCCAGCCGAAGTCAGACCAGCCGAGGTCAGGTCAGCCGGGGTCAGACCAGCCGAGGTCAGGCCAGCCGAAATCGGGTCAGCCGAGGTCAGGTCAGCCGAAGTCAGACCAGCCGAGGTCAGGCCACCCGAGGTCAGACCAGCCGAGGTCAGGCCAGCCGAGGTCAGGTCAGCCCAGGTCAGGCCAGCCGAGATCAGGTCAGCCGAGGTCAGGTCAGCCGGGTCAGACCAGCCGAGGCCAGGTCAGCCGAGGTCAGGCCAGCCGAGGTCAGGCCGGCCGGGGTCAGACCAGCCGAGGTCAGGCCAGCCCGGGTCAGGTCAGCCGAGGTTGGACCACCAGGAGAGCAGACCCAGGCCCGGCTCGTTGATGGTCGCCTGCGGCAACGCGAGGTCAGATCAGCGGCGGGGACCTGGGAGGTCGGCTGTGGCGGCGGCGAAACGACAATGTCTTCCAAAGGCAAAAGGTTTGAGTTCTATGTTAGGTAATGGCTCTTAGGCCTTTTTGCCTTTGGACGGCAGACACGGCGCATGCTAACAATCTCTGTGCACGCCACTGACCCGACCCTCAAACTGCGGCTCAACATCCACAAAATTCGGGCGCTACGCGAGAACTTTTCACGCAACACTCCAACCAAAAAGCTATTGATAACTCCGAGTCTCAATGTATCCGGCCAACAAACACCCTCGTGGCCCTCCTGGTCAACGATAGGTCATCCGGCACTACCGGCTAACAAGTGACCTACCGCCAGTGAGCAGCTATAAAAAAAATGCCGAAACTATGACTTACAATTCGACGTCGCATGGTACCCAGCGTCCCCATCCCCGGTGCTGCACCAAATGAGCTGCGGGGACGACGGGGTAGCCCTCGAGCTGCACACAGCCTAAGCTGATGGGGGAGGGGGGGGGGGGGGCGTACCGTGATGACATAGGGCGTCTTGCGCTGCTGCGTCTGCGCCGGATCGGCGGCGGGGGCGGCCGGGTCCGCTGTGGTCAGCTCTGGCCCGGCTGGCGTCGTGTCCGTGAACGTCTCGGCCGCCACGCGGAACCGCACCTCCTCCCCTGCGGCGGCGCCAGGTCAAGGTCAATGCCATCCAGAAGGGGACAGGGACGGGAGGCTCGGAGGCCCCAGTGTGTCTAGTCTGGTCTGAAAATGGCAAGGAGGCTCTAGCGTGTCTAGTCTGGTCTGACCATGGCAGGAAAGCCCCAGTGCGTCTCGTCTGACCTGACAATGGCAGGGAGACCCCAGTAAGTATAGGCTGGTCTCACAATGACAGAGAAGCCCCAGTGCATCTAGTCCAGTCTGACAATGTCAGGGAGGTCCCAGTGCGTCTAATCTGGTCTGAAAACGGCAGGACGGCCTAATCTGTCTAGTCTGGTCTGACAATGTTAGGGAGGTCCCGGTGCATCTAGTCTGGTCTGACAATGTCAGGGGATCTCAGTGCGTCCAGTCTGGTCTGACAACGATAGGGGGGCTCAAGTGCAACTAGTCTGGTCTGACAACCAGACTCGTCTCACACCACCCCTCCGAAGCACAGCCTCATATTCCAGTCTCACGTTCACTCACGTGCCTCACGCTCTGCTGGCGTGCTGCCCGTGAACAACTGACCGCCCGAGCCAAGCCAGAGCAGTGGCCGGCCGCGCACACCCGTCCCTCCATCGCTTCCAAACAAACTCCACAACGGCAGCTTTTCGGGTCATCGTGAACACACACCTTCCCACCGTGTACGGGGGACGCCAAATCACGTTTCGCTAGCTGCCTGACCATGTGGCGCAGCGCTACCCAACACCAGCAGCTGGACGGCGCACAGAACACCGCCAGCTCTGCAGTCAGGTCAGCGACAGGAAGGGAACGCATCACTCTCGTTCGCGAGAGCGGAAAATAATAATAAAAGTAAAACAATAATAATAATCCTAATAATTAAAATAACAAATAATAATGATAATACATAACAATAAAATAATACTAATCGGCAGTAAGCGAACTGGCCTCCGCAGCGCGACCTTTTGACACAATTTTTGACACTTTTGACCTCCACAATCGACAGGCCTTTCGACACGATCGACAAGCCTTTAGAGCCTTCTGCCACGTGCTGTTTTACCCCGCATGACACGACCGCTGGCGCGGTAGCATCTTCGGTTTCACCTGCCCTCGGTTCAGGCTGCAAACTCCATCATGGAAAGATATTCGCGCTGTCGCGCCGGTGAGGCGTGGAATGACGCCGCTGATGCCGCTGTTCGGTGCTCCGCGATGGCCACATTTAAATCGTCATTAACGCAGCGGTCAATCTCACTGCGGCATTTGCATGCGCGCAAAACTGTTTATGTCTGTAACTGTCAAATGACGTTTAACAGGATGAAACGATTCGTACGTTCTCCACGACGCCTCAAACCACAAATTTATGTGGATGGGCGTCGAATGCGATGCACACACCACACACCACCATCCGACCAGCCCGAACAGACCGGCGGCAGTGGCGACTGACCGGGGTCCATGAAGAGGCTGTGCTTGCCGTTGTCATACTCCCACACCCAGACCTGCTCGGCCTCGTCGAACCGCGCCGGCTGCTGCAGCGACGTCGGCGGGATCACGATGTCGTCGAAGAAGCCGAGGCTCACTGCCGGCCGAGGTCACGTCACGAGGTCAGCGTGTCATCGAGGTCACAGGTCACGAGGTCAGGCGTCATCAGAGGTCAGAGGTCAGCGGGGGGGGGACGAGAATCAAAACGTCACAGCGTCAAATGGCGAAAGGCTCGCGCGTCAGGGATCAGAGATCGGAAGGTCAGAGATCTGGCGCTCAGAAGGTCAACGGGTCGGTGGGTCAGAAAATGATGACAATAATGACTGAGGGTCACAATATCAGAGGGTAAGAGGCCACAAGTTCAGAAGGACAGGGGTTGGCTTAAGCACAGCTGGAGCACATTAAGATGCAACCAACGACGCAAGAACGAAGGCATAAGGTCAGTGCGCCCTAGGACTGTGGGACAAGCAAATGCCTGGTACATGGGAACGTTGCATACCTATGTGGTGGAACTCATACTTGTTGCACAAAGAATATCGGCCATATCTCGTCACACCGCACTGTGCAGGCCAACAACAAACATGAAAGCAGCACAGTGGGATGTCAGACGTGATAATGATCATAGCTCTCTGTCCATCTTATTTGACCAATTTTACAATTAATTTTACCACGGGAGTTCCACTGCCCATCTCGACACGTGCCCCCTCCAGCGCCGGGCGTGCCCAGGGTGCCGCACCTTGCACGCCGTCGTTGCTGCAGCTCTTGATGCGGCCCGTCAGCACCTCGTCCACGTACGGCCGGAACACCGTGTAGCGGAAGACGGTCTTGGTGTGGGAGGCGCCATCGCCAGGCAGGATGAACGACTCCTCCAGCGAGAGGACGTCGTGCAGGGCGATACAGAGCCCGACCGAGTAGAGCACGCGGTTGGCCAGCTTGCGGTTCAGCTCCTCAGCGATCGCCTCATTCAGGCTTTTGTCGAAGAGCCAGGGTGGAATGCGCACCACGTCCTGCAGCTTCGCCAGCACGAACATGGGCCCGGCCCTGGCCTGGCGAGCAGGCGAGTCTGCAGGGAGATCATGGTGGTGATGATGGTGATAATGGCTATAACATGATCATGATCATGACTGTTACAAAATAGACGAGACCAGGGGCTTTGCCTGTGTGGCTTTCAGATCCTTGTTCCTGTTGAGCATAGATTCCCCAAAGGCTCCCTGACCCCACTACCCCAGAATTCCACAGG